GAGAAGGAAAACCAATGGAGCAGTGAGAGGGGTGTTGGAAAGCGGCTTTGATTTTTCTCAGAATGTTCTGCCCTAACTTTTCACCGTCCTTTTCTCCTTGAACAGGTGCCCATATCCAGAGGCAAGAAATGCCCAACAGCAGCTCCATGGCCCAGTTCCTGCTCCTGGCATTCTCAGACAGGCGGGAGCTGCAGTTACTGCACTTCTGGCTCTTCCTGGGCATCTCCCTGGCTGCCCTCCTGGGCAACGGCTGCATCCTCAGCACCATAGCCTGCGACCAGCACCTGCACACCCCCAGGGACTTCTTCCTGCTGCACCTCTCCCTCACAGACCTGGGCTGCATCTGCACCACTGTGCCCAAAGCCATGCACAACTCCCTCTGGGGCACCACAACCATCTCCTACACAGCATGTGCTGCACAGGCCTTTTTCTTTGTCTTTTTCATGTCAGCAGAGTATTTCCTCCTGACCATCATGTGCTACGACCGCTACGTTGCCATCTGCAAACCCCTGCACTACGGGACCCTCCTGGGCAGCAGAGCTTGTGCGCACATGGCAGCAGCTACCTGGGCCTCTGGGTTTCTGTATTCTCTGCTGCACACAGCCAATACATTTTCCCTGCCCCTGTGCCAGGGCAATGCCCTGGCCCAGTTCTTCTGTGAAATCCCTCAGATCCTCAAGCTCTCCTGCTCACACTCAGGCTACCTCAGGGAAATTGGGCTCATCGTGGTTAGTGCCTGTTTAGCATTTGGCTGTTTCATTGTCATAGTTTTCTCCTATGTGCAGATCTTCAGGGCTGTGCTGAGGATCCCCTCTGAGCAGGGACGGCACAAAGCCTTTTCCACCTGCCTCCCTCACCTGGCTGTGGTCTCCCTGTTCCTCAGCCCTGGCACATTTGCCTACCTGAAGCCCCCCTTGATCTCCACTCCATCCCTTGCTCTGACTGTGTCAGTTCTGTACTCGGTGGTGCCTCCAGCCCTGAACCCCCTTATCTACAGCCTGAGGAACCAGGAGCTCAAGGATGTCATAAGGAAAATGATCAGTCGTTGCTTTTCAGGAGAAATAAACTGCATGTTTTCTGATTTGTAGCATTCAGATTGGGACTCTATCATTGCCCAGCCTTCCTTCTCTAAGTTTTTCCTGGAGGCCATTGGGTTCTTCTCCTTGCAATAATTTTCTATGCAATTAAATATTATTAGCCACATGCCTTCGAATTTGTCTACCTACTGTATGTTACCCAGAGATGTATAAATGATGAATTGTGCTCTCTGAGTATTTAAACAAAATAAAGGACCCTGCAGTGCCTTCTTTGTCCAAGACCCTTCTTCTCAGCTGTTCCTAAAGGACAGCACACTGCAGGACAGGGGGGATTTGCAAAGGGCAAGGGGCACAAGAATCCCAGCACAGCAGCACTGCCAGGGAGCAGCAGAGCTTGGGCTTTGCAGAGCTACTCTTTCCACTTCCACACTGTCCTTGTGAGCCCCTTTCTGGCTGCAAGGCCTGAGTGCTCTCTGAGCACAGTCCTGGGGGTGGGAGCCCTTTGAGCACAGGCAGGGACAGGCACTGGGAACTTGTGAAGCAGAGCTGGCCTCCCTGACAGCATCTCCAGGATGCTGTGGGATCTTCTGAGGGTACTGCATGCACTGGGTCACTTCTCCTGTGCCCTTGCTGCAGGGCTGGAACTCTCCTGCAGTGACCCCAGGACACTCCTGCTCTTTGCATTCCCAGCCTGATTTGGAAATCCAGTCTTGCCCTGCTGTTGCCAGGGACATGCTGGGAGTGCTTCAGAGCTGCCATCCTGGGGCAGCTCCTGCCCAGCGTGGGCAGGCACAAGGTCTTTCCCCCTGCTCCTCTCAGCTCAGCAGTGCCACTGTTTGCTGCAGCCTCCTCCTCCTTGCCCAGCACAGCCCTCCTGGCAGAGTTGGACACAGCCCTTGTTCTCCCCCCTCCTCATGGCCCTGCCCAAACCCCTCAGCTACAGCCTGATGGCCAGAAATTTTGAGGGCAGGGAGAGCCCATTGGAGTGGTGGGTCTGTAGGGAGCAATCACTGCTGCCTCCCTTCTGAATCACCCTCAGGACCTGGAAAGCCTCAATTTGGTTTGGTTTCTATGAGGCCCTTCAGTGTCAAAGTGGCCCCTTGATTCCAGCAGGTTGCACACTGTTATAACAAAGCTGAGCCCACCCAGATGGAAGTTTGGGGTAGATCAGGAGGAACTGGGACAAAAAGAATTGGATATTTGGGAAGGAAGAGGGGGTTGGCCAACAGAGAGGAAAGGGTTTGATGAGGTAAAAGCAAGTTCAGGGAATGCTGAGGGTGTTGAAACCCTGACTCTGCAAACACATCTGATGTACCTTTACACTATTTCTAACCTCAAGCCCCACAACCTAAAAGTGATGCCCCTCACATTGGAAGGAATTAACTGCTCTAATTCCAAACTCAACCTGATCTAAAAGGCAAAGCCCAAATGCAGAATTTCAGACTCTTGTTTCTTCTCCAATGGCCACCCAAACCTGTATTACCAGTACAAAAAGCCAAGCTCGAATCCTGATCCAGACCAAAAAGCTCTTCCCCTAATCCTGAACCAGACCCTGCCAGCAGAACAACAAACCTGCCAAAGTTCTGCCCAATCCCCACCCTGAGCTCTAAAGCCCAAGGCCTGAGCATGAAGCACCCCCAGAGCCCTTGGGAGCAGGGCAAGGACCTGCAGGGCCCAGAGCAGGCCCAGGGGGTTGGCAGAGCAATG